AGGGATAGCATGAAGAATTGAATCAACACAAGCACTAATAGCAGTATTTGCAAGTTGACTAAACAAATCATTTGATAAAGAGAAATGAAGTTTAGATAATAAAGTAAGAGTATTTGTAGTTGGAGGATAAAGAACTAATTTAAAAGGAAGATCCTGAACATTTGAATTAGAGAAAATAGCAGGATAATTTAAATCATTTTTTGAAGGATGAAATGAAGCAATTAAATTATTAATTAAATTTAATGACAAATAAACTAAACGTTCTGAGATATTAGTAATCAATTCATTAATACAAAAATTAAAAATAGAATATTCAGGTAATTGGATTAATTTTGAATGAGGTAAACGATAAAGAATTTGTTCATCTTTAAGATAAGTAATTGCATTACATAATATTCCAATGTCATGACATTTATAACATAAAGTTGAAATAAAAGAAGAATAAATATCAAAAAGTGAAGAAAACATAATTTTTAATGCTTGACAATCTTGGTTAAATACAGTTCTAAATAATTTACCTTCTTTATAAAAAATGATAAATAAATAAATTCCAGCTTCTCTAGTAACATCACAAATAAATGGATTAATTTGTTGAAGTGTAATTAATAATTTTGATATATATGGCATTAATAAATTTTTTCTAATATTAAGATAATGTTTAATACATTCATCAAGATATGATGATTCTAATATTCCTTTTCTTATTTCTAATATTTTTATTAATTCTTTAAATTCAGTTGTTATTTTAGATTTATATAATACACTTTTTGTAAATTGATTTAAAGGTAATACTGGAATTGTACTACATTCTTGATGTAAATCATCAATTTGTTTTTTAATAAATATTGATAAATAATTTAATATTTTACTTTTTAATTGTTGATATTTTAATAAATATGTATAACATTCAATATCATTTTTCTATTAAATAAATTATGTTATTCATTTATTTATTTAATATAAACAAACTTTATTATAAAAATATTCAATAGATTCATTTATTTCAATATAATTTTCTTTAAATTGATTTGAATAAAAATTTATTGTTTTTGGATTATTAATAAATAATGATAATCTATCAAATGCCTCATAATATCTTATTTCTTTTTCTACTTTCTTTAATACCTCTTCTTCTTTATTTTTCTTTTTTAAAATTTCATTACATTGACTAAATAATTCATTTGATTTTGAATCAATTCCATTAACAATTTCATCAATTTCATTAATTTTTTTATTTTGTTCATTAAAACTTTTTTCAATAATTGATAAATTATCTAATTGATTTTTTAATTGAAGAATACTAAAGAATAAACATCAAATAATTTTTAATATTAATAATGTTTTACAAACATTTCCATAATGATTATTATTTTAAAGTTTTAGATAGAAAATATGATATATTAATGAATGAAATAATAGAAAAATAATAATAAAATTTATTAAAAAAAAAAAAAAAAGAAAAAAAAAACAAATAAAAAATATTAATATCAAAATAAAACAAAAAATGCACAATTACACATCAACACCATAATTTTGTAATAAAACCAATATGTGTTTAGCATAAGGTACTTTTCTTAAAGAATTAATTTGTGGTAAAACTACATTATTTACCATAAATTCACGATCTTCATCACTAACATTTTCTATTATTTTTTGAACTACATAATTAGCATATTGATCTCTCATCATCATTAATAAAGGAGCACCATCTTTTTTAATACCATAAATTTCTTTTAAAATTTCTTGTCTTCCTTTAAGATTAGCACACATAAAACATTTTTCAATAACATTAGAAGAATATTTTTGCATAGATAATAATGCAATATTTCCTTGTAATGCTTTTCTAATTTTATTTCTTTCTGATGGACATTTTTCAACAATATATTGAATAACATAATTACCATATTGATCTTTAGATAAATCAAGTGTATTAGGAAGAATTTCTTCTAATAATGGATAACTTTTTTCAGTTGGTATTTTTTCTAAAATACGTTGAATTACTCTACATCCATATGGATGTTGTGAAAATGCTAATACTCTTCCTTTAAATGCAAAAATAATTGAATCAATAATTTTTAAATCTCCTTTTTCAACACATTTTTGAATTACATGATTTCCATTTTGATCTTGAATACATGCAATAATATTATCTTCTATTTCATTAAAAATTGTTCTTTTATCAATATCATCTACAAATTCTATTGCTTTTTGTACTACTCTACATCCATACATATGTAATGATAATTCAACAAATGATCCTGTTAATCGTTTAATTAATTGACTTTTTTGCCAAACTACTCCAAATTCAAATAATTTTTGAATAACATAATTTGCAAAAACATCTTTAGAAAGTGTTACTGCTTCTTTTTCTATTGAATCAAAAATTATATCTCGTTCTGTTATTGATGTTTCTATTTTATGTTGAACAGTTCTACTTCCTGTTTGATCTTGTGATAATCTTAAATAATCTTCATTAAATAAAATTTGATGAAAATGTTTTGTTGGTGTAGATGGAATAGAAGGTGGATTTGATGAATGAATAAATGTTGAGTTATTATTATTATTTTGTTCTGTTTGTGTTTTAAAATATTTTTGTAAAAAACGTTCATATCCTTCAGCACTATAATCATTATTTAATTGAATTGGTGTTGTTTCTTTTCTTTCCTTTCTTATACAATTCATATCTGTTTTAATCATTCTTTGGATATCAGTTGTTTTCTTCCCTTCATCTTCTTCATCATCTAACAAATTACTTATGACACTCTGAAGGGTCTGTTCCATAAAATAACAAAGAACTAATGAAAGGGTTCTTTTTCTTTTTCTTTTTTTTTTTATTTCTTAAATTTTTGTTTTTATTTTATTTTTGTTTTTTAAAAAGAAATAATAAACAATTTAAATAATAAAAAAGTATAAAAACAAAAACAAAAAAAAAAAAAAAAGAAATAAATCTAAATAATAGATTAATAAAAAAACAAAAACAAAAAAAAAAAAAGAATGAATTAAAGAAAGAAAATAAAAGAATACAAAACAATTTATTCAAATAAATCATGATCATCATTATCTTCAGATTTTTCAATTAAAATAATATTTTCATTTTGTTCATTATTTTCTATTCCAAAGAAATTTAATTTTATTACACCTGTATAAATAAATAATCCAAATGTTAATAATAAAAATCCTAAAACTTGAAGTGCTGTTTGCCAACCTAAAGGTTCTCCATATTTTTTATTAAAAATATAATACATTAAAACTGATAAAAACCATATAGAAATCATTCTACAAGGATCTAATATATTTCTTACCATTGCAGTTAAACTTCTTGTAATAATCATTCCTGTAATATTAAATAAAGTAACAGAAAATGCATAAATAATTATAACTATTAAAATATGTTTTTCTCTTAAACTAATTATTGCATCAATATTATCATCATAAAATGGTATTGGAATCATTTGTAATAATATCATTCCTGGTATTGATAATAAAATACCATAAAATCCTTCTAATCCAACAACAACTAATGGAGGTATTTGAAGGTCTTGTAAATATTTTTCTTCCATAATAGTTTGTAATGCTTGAAGAAACATAGCACTAGTAATAAATGTAATTCCAATTATAACATCCCAAACTTTTGATTCTCCATTTATAACACTTGAATTTCCTGCAAATGCAGATCCTCCAACAACAGCTAATGCAATAATAACTAGAAATATAGCAAAAATTTGATTATTTCTTAATTGATTTTTTCTAACAAAAACTGTAAGTAAAGCAGTAAAGATAATAACACTTCCTCTCATCATTTGAAATACACTTGATGTTACATACATTAATCCTACATTCATTAAATATCCTCCTAAAAAATCACATAGTGCTGGTCCAATTAATTTAAATAATACTTCAATTCGAAATGGAGATCTTTTATTAATTTCAATATAATTCTTTTTATTATCTTCAGGTATTATTAATGTAATAATTATATGAATAAATAAACATAACATCATCCCAACAAACATCATAAATGTTAAAAACATTGGATGTTCAAATTCATGTTCTTTCTCATATCTACCTTTTGTTGTTGTATTATATAATAATTTACTTAAAGTAATTGTTAATGTCCCACTCATTAAAAAAATAATTACACATATCGTTAATACTGATTTCCTAAGTGTTGGTTTTTGAATAACCTTTAAAAATGGATAAATAGTTGTTGATTTAGGATTAATATAATCATCAATAACTTCCATTAAACCAATTTAATTATTGAGTTCTATTTCTTTGTAGAATTATTCGAAAAATTTCTTCGTTCATTCTCTTCTTTTTATTATTTCATTATCATTTTATCCTTTTAAAATCTATTAAATCAAAGTACTTATTTATGTGTATTAAATTAATAATTCACCTTTTTAAAAAAGAAGTCATCCTAAATCAAATAAAAAGAAGAATTGTTTATTTCATTAAATAAATTCATCTTTTCATTTCTTCTTCAAAAAATAAAATAGTTTGGTTATGTATAGGTTTTAATTTATACTCAATATAGTTTATTAAAAACAAATAAAGAGTAGTTTTAAAATTATATGACTTCTAGATTATTTTTTGTTGATGAAAACAAGATTCAAATGAGTAATATGGTAATAATTAATCGTTTTTAACAATTATGATTCATTCATCTATTTTTCTTTTTGTTTATTTTTATAATAATAGTATTAATTCTAATTAATATTTATTACTATAAAATATATTATTTATTTTATGATGGTTACGTTACGAAATGAGTTCAAGAAGTATTGCTATTAAGTTATGTTAATTCTAAATAAAAAATCCATTTTTTATTTGATAATAATTAAATGCCTCACTTCTGTCAAACAAGAAATGACGATTTTTGGTAATTTTAAAAAGGAAAGAAGTTCTTTTCATTTAAAAATCATTTGGCTTTATTTTAAAAACCTCATTGTAATTACTCAACATAAAAGGAAATAAAAGAACTACTAGATAGAGACGAAATGCAAATATCAATGACAGAAAAAAATAAAGCTGTTGAGTTGAAAAGACGTCATGAAGAATATATCTTTGGACAATGGGGTTTCTTAATATTATATATCATTTCAAAAGGTGGAAAAGTTGAGATATTATATCCAAAAAGAAAAAAGTATATAGATAAAAGAAATCAACTTGATCTTATTTATGTTGAAGTTGAAGGACATTGTTGGAAAATTGAAGACTTTATTCAAAGGATTGAAATGCGAATTAATGAACTTTGTAAAACAAATATGGTTTTTAAAAGAGATATAGCAAGAATAAAAAGAAAAGATTTGCATGACGTCATGATGAATAGTATTATTAAATGGGCTTGTAAGAGAAGTGAAGATGATAGTATTAAAATTGTCTCTAAGAATGGAAAAGCACAATCTACAAGAAAAGAAAAAGAAAATAATCTTTATATTGATAAAATTGAAATTAATGGTAATCAATATGATAGAAAATTTATTAAAGATTATTATGGTGATTGGATGCAGAAAGTATTGAAATATCTTTTTGCTAATAACAACAAGAATAGTCAAATTATAATATCATTAACAACATTACCTCAAGAACTTCTTTATTTTAATAATTTTGTATTTGATACCCCTGAAAATAATACTGTATCTCTTAGTGAAGCTGTTATGACTAATAAAATCAATGATGAATTTGAATACATAGACCATCAATTTAGTGTACCTTATCCATATCAAACTGAAGAAGATACTTCCCAAATGATTAAAAATGATCCAGAACAATTTAATTTTGAGTTAAATCAATTTAATTTATTAGGTACTCATCCTGAAGACTATGCCCAAGATTCTTTTAATCAAAAAACTCTTTTTTAAGAGTTATCATATTAATGACTATTACTTTTAACTCTAATAGACTTAATTGATTCAATTAACATCATATATTGGTTCACTTTTGTAAAGAAAACTATAAACATCATTTTATATGTCATTAGAATCTTTTATCATATATTTAAATTTAATCTAATTAATAATTCATTCTTGTTACCTTTTGATTTGTCTTTTTTTTAATTATTTGTAATTTATTTGGATTCTTTTTGAATCTTTTATACATTTATGTATACTTTAAATAAAACTTATAAAATTTCAATACTGTATTGTTTTTTTTTTCACTGTAAATTGTACTAATTCATAATATTCTATTATTTTAAAAAATAGAATTGTAATTCATTGTAATTCAAGAAGTGTTTTTGTAATTATATGTATGTTTAGGTTTAATTTTTGAGTAAATACCAAACATAATCATTCATTGGATATTAATATTGTTTTTGTCTTACATTTAATAACTACTCAATGTATGAAGATGTTACAATTAATTCCTTCCTCTGAATTAAAAAAAATAGTAATATTGATTGTTAAGGTATTTCTATTCTTAAAAACTATTGAAATACAATAGAAGTTACAGTAAATTAATGACAATTATTATTCCTAATGTTTTGTATTGGTTATTAAGAAAAAAATTAGATAAACTATAAGTCAACGATATCATGAACAAGTGTGTTGTAATAAAAATGTTAAACAATGAGATTACACTAAATTTCATTCTAATTTATACCATTATCAATTAAATCACAATAACTGTATTTCTTTATATGTAAAATGATAACTACCAATGTATGCTTAGAGTATTTCTCTTTATGAAGAAGTAATAACCATACATAAATGAAAAGATATTAATCCCTTTTATTCAATAAAAAAAGCTGAACAATTTTATTCGTTCTCATAATTCTTTAATAGTGGTTATTGTTTAGTATCTCATGGATACAATAATCAAGATAAATTGTGTTTCATTATTACAAATAACAAAAAATAAAATATAGTTAAATGTTACAATATTTAATATTATTATTATAGTTTTATTTTATAAATAAAAAAATAGTAATTTTTATTAAATTAATAATAAAATGAAGAAATAAAAGTGAAATAGTTTAAATATTATTAATAAATAATAAAAATAAAATAATTTAATAGTTTTTAGAATTAATTTTATAATTAATAGTAAAATAATATTATTTCAGATTATTCATTTTTTCATCTTCTCAACTTTTATTATTTTTATCATTCTTTTGTTCATTAGTGTTTTCTTTTCTTTAATTATTTATTACATTCTCATCTCTATTTCTTTTATTTTTATTTATTATTTTATGTTTAGTTATTCATGTGAGTGAAGTTATTTTAATTATTAATTTATCTTGTTCATTATTTAATGTTATCTGTGTTTCTGTTATTTGTATTATCTACTTCATTATTTATTAGTATTGTTAATTTCCATTCTAATACTTTCAACTATACTTATTTTATTAAATTAGAATTATATAACAATGTTAATATCACTAAATTAATTGTATGATATTGTTAAATATATATTAACAATTATATCATCATTCCAATTACTTTTAGTTCAAGAAAGAATCATTCAAAAATGATTATTAAGAATAACAAAAATATTCAAATGATAGAAAATGATGAGATAATAATTATTTTTATGTTTCCATAAATTTTATGGTATAGTCTAACTTTTTTCTGTTGTTATTTCTTCTTTCTTTTTTAATTTCGTTATTCTTTGTTATCATTCTTTATTTTATCTAACATCATCAACTATATTTATTAACTTATTATAAATTTAATTATTTTAATATCATATTTTCTGTCAAAAATTCATTTTATCTTTCAGACTGTATCTTCTGCATTGTATTTTGAATACCAGTTAACTCTTCTTAACCTCTTTTCAAAACTTTCTAATTCTTTCTAGTTTTTATGATCTTATCTATCCTAATTTCACCTCATCTCCTCTGGTTTCTAAACTCTATTCTATTTCTTTCTTTTTATTTTTTACTTATTTTTCATATTATTGTATTTTAAATTCTTTTTAATAACTAATTATAAAAATTATTTGAAACTCACCATCAATTCCTTTTATTATTAATACAATTAATTTGACAAATGCCATTAATCAATCATCACTTTGGTATATCACTCGAAATAAATGAATATAATATAGTTTAAAGTACAGATGAAATACTTTAATGATGAAACTAGTTATTATATATTATATATTCTTATTTATATTATTTCATTTCTTTAACATTATAAGATTCAGTTTATTTGTTAACTAACTTTTAATATTATTCAAATAACATACAAATCCATTAAAAAGAATAACAAAGAATAGTGGTGAATGTATAGAACAATACCACACTTTTAATTGGTATTGAATAAAATAATTAAATTAAAATTGAGATATTAATATTATAATAATAAAACAAGTCCATATCATTTAAATCATGAAATAAATTAATTATACCATATTTTATTATTAAAT